AGTGTTCATCAGTCATCTATGCTATGACCCGAAATAGGCAAGTAACTGACTCAAAAGTATATTTGGGTTCTGAAGTGTCCAGGAAATACTTCATTCCATTTTTCACATTCTCTCATGTTTTGGAGGTCATGTTAGCCAAAGCTTCATGCAGTAGGAATGAATGGAAGCCTGTTAGACGTCCTTAAAGACAGGGAGAATTTGTCACAGTAATTTCCCTAACATTGCCATTTGTAGGGATACATTATGAGTTCTGGGATGAATGCTCTCCTGCTTATTGTCACATTTTATCTTCCTACTGCCCCTGAAGTAAGGTCAGATCTGTGACATCCTGTAACCACCACTCACATGAAACCCTGGAAACTCTGACAGGTGGAGGGATCCTTTTCCTAAAGGGAGGCGGATGAACCTGGGGCTCTGCAGTCATCTTCACAGATGTCCTCATTCCATGGTTCCCCTGTCTCCCCATGTGCTCCTCACAAGTAGCAATACCTACATCCCCAATCATACATTCCTCTTCTCTCCCACCATCTGGTGGCACTGTCATTTTCCATTTAAATTTCTCTTTTCCTTGGTGCCGTTTTCTTTCTTTCTTCATCTGGCCGCTACACCTCGGAAAGCATTTGCTCTTAGGAGTGAAATGTTTCTCTTGGGGTGTGCACTGTGGTACAGAGGGTCAAGTAATCACTTGGAATACCTGCATTCCATGTCAGAATTCCTGGGACACAGTCCTGTCGCCTCTGTCAATCCAGCTTCCTGCTACTGTGCCTAGGAGGTAGAAGGTAATGGCCCAAGTGCTTGGGTTTCTGCCATGCATGTAGGAGATCCAGAAGGAGTTCCTGTTAGATTCAGCTTGACCCAGACCCAATTTTTGCAGGCATTTGGAAATTAAAGTTGTGAATGGAAGCTTCTCTCTCCCACCACAGTGATGTGTGTGTGTATGTGTGTGTGTGTGTGTGTGTGTGTGTGTGTGTGTGTGTATACACCTCACTGTCTCTGTGTCACTCTGTTTTTCAAATAAATAGTTACATCAGTAAATACATTAATCTTAAAAAACATAGCAAAATAATACCCTTCTTTCAATTTATAACTCTAGTGAACAACTATTGGAGTGAAGTAACTAAAGCAATTTGCCCAAAACTCTACTTCAGTTAATAAACACAAAATCCTGGGTTGAACCAGGTTCTTTCTGTGTACTGACTGTTTCAATTCCTTTTAATCAATTTTCTTTGTAATTTTACCTTCTTTATATGATCATGTTTATATATTAAAGGCTGATGTCTGATTTCATGTTTCCAATAGACAGCATTTGGACATAGATTACATAGAGTTAGAGCTGACATGTCCAAGTGTGCCCAGAAGAATTTGAAATGAGTTAGAAATACTTGCTAACTGGGTTGTTTATTTTAAAAAGGAAGCAAAATCCCTTAGGTTATAAAGTCAGAGACAATATAATTAAACTGGCATCCCAAGGTACAGTCTTTAAAAAGATTTTCTAGACAAAAAGATTTCTCCTCCATCCACCCACACCACCATTATTCCTCTGACTAATCTTCCCATAGGGAAACCTGTACAGTTACTTCACAACTCGACACGTGCAGCCATCACTGGCCATAGGTCTTAGCTTTTGTTTACCTCTGTTGAGTGAGAACAATGAATGGTTAGGATTTTAAAGTTGCTTTTTTGAGTGTAATGGAGTCTTTATCCAGCAGAGTCTTATTCTTTTGTTAACCAGACCTCCACAAACTATGATGTGGGTTTTTGTCCCTACCTTAGTTCCTTTGCTTGTTCCTTCTAGATTGAAAATTCAGGTTCAACATCTCATTCTACCAGCCATTGTTTCTCTACCTTGGACATATGTTGTTATCATTCAGTGAACTTAATAATAAACTGTTTATGCCTAGACCCCATTGTGGGTTGAGTTCAGAACCCTGCAGAACAAAGAAGTCCAGTGTGTAACTTCTGGCTAATATGGTGATTATAGAGGAGTAGAATGTTGTTCTAGGGGTTGAATTTTGCATTCTCATTAAGATATCTAGCAACAGTTCTTGATATTCTTGCTTTTGATGGAGATTATGTTAGATCTCTTACATGGATGGTGAATGACCAGTCATCTGATACTCAGTGGCTGGGTTAAAGAGCCTTTATTTCTTGTGCCTACATGTATGGTGATTGGTTTGCCTGGTCTAAGTTGAACACTGCTGGGCAGTTTGACTGAAGCTTCATACAAGGTGCCCTTTATTCCAGGTGAGGATGTAGTTCATGTCTGTTTCACATGTTTTTGATCTTTTTTTTTTTTTGGATCATTCATTGAGTGCCTTGGGAATAGAGTTATTAAGATAAATTACTATCCTGTGAAAGCCAAGATCAGTTGCACCCAAAAATCTCTGTTTGTGTCACGTCTATTTAATGTACTTTGGGATAGAGTAATTCATATGTTTCAGCCCCACACTAATGGATTGGGGAATATATATTCTGTCCATATGTGAGAGAAAAAGGAATAAATACTTGCTGACAAAAGCCCATGCCCTCAAATGGTGTACTTGTTGGACAATAAATTATAACAGTGCCAAGACTAGGGCCTGGCATTTTGGTGCAGTGTGTTGAGCTACCATTTGTAATGTCAGCATCCAATATTACAGTGTTGGTTCTTGTCCCAGCTTCTCTGCTTTAAATCCAGCTTTCTGACAATATGTCAGGGAGAGCAGTGGAAGGTGACCCAGTGGAAGATGGGCTCAAGCCATCAGCATAAGAGACCAAGATCGAGTTTCTGGCTCCTGGCTTTAGCCATGGCTGTTGCAGTCATTTGGAGAATGAACCGGTAGAAGCAAGATTTCATTTTCTTTCACCCATTTGCTCTCACTCTTTCAACAAAGGAAAAATAGATAAAGGAATGAAGAACTGGATTTACAACCATTTTTGTAACCTGAAATTCTTCAAAAATAAAGAATTCATTAAAAAAATGTGCTGTGCCAGGTCAGTGGGAACATATAGGGAAACATTGGAAATATCGAAGCAGAGAACAGAGCATCCCTGGTGGGAAATGTGTGCAAAGAACTCGAGGATGAGCTGCTGAGTGGCCTGTTGTTTAGATTTGTGTTTGACTTGATGTGGGGAAGAGGAGAATGAATAAGGTGGGACAGATTCAGGGTTCAAAACTGTCACCGTATGTTGAATCTGATAAGTTAGAATATCAAAGTGATACACATAGTAGCGCCCTTTTGAGTTTACAATCTCAGTTGTTTTGCTTATATTAAATCAAAATGTGGATTTCATTAAATTAAAACCACAGTGTTTCATACCCACTCCTTTTAAATGATTATTTTACTCACTTATTTGAAAGGGAGAGTAACAAACATAGCTAAAGATGTTTCATCAACTGAGTTACTTCTCCTAATGGTTCCGTCAGCCAGGAATGGGCTGCCCAGATTTCCATCTGTCACACAGCTGGAAGGGATGTCAGTATTATTCGGATCATCATCTATTGCTTTCCTAGGCATACTGGCAGAAAGCTGCATTGAAAGTTGAGAAGCTGAGAATCAAACTGGCACTCTGATGCAAGTCACAAATGTTAGGCCTGGTGCAGTAGCCTAGTGGCAAAAATCCTCTCCTGGCATGCATTGGGATCACATATGGGCTCCAGTTCATAATCCAACTGCTCCACTTCCCTTCCAGCTCCCTCTTTCTGGCCTGGAAAAGCAGTAGAAGATGGCCCAAGGCCTTGGGACCCTGCATTTATGTGGGATGCCTGGAGGAGGCTCCTGGCTCCTGGCTTTGGATTGGCTCAGCTCTAGCTATTACAACCACCTGGGGAGTGAAGATGGAAGATCTTTCTCTCTGTCTCTCCTTGTCTTTGTAGATCAAAGACTACACAACAAAAAAAATTAAATCTTTTTAAAAAGTACAAATGTCCAACAGCAACTTAATTCATCCATTATTTGAAAAACACTGTGAGGGCCCGGCGCGGTGGCGCAAGTGGTTAAGTCCTCGCCTTGCACGCCCGGGATCCCATATGGGCGCCGGTTCTAATCCCGGCAGCCCCGCTTCCCTTCCAGCTCCCTGCCTGTGGCCTGGGAAAGCAGTCGAGGACGGCCCAAAGCTTTGGGACCCTGCACCCGCGTGGGAGACCCGGAAGAGGCTCCTGGCTTCGGATCGGCGTAGTATCGACCCGTTGCGCTCACTTGGGGAGTGAATCATCGGATGGAAGATCTTCCTCTCTGTATCTCCTCTCTGTATATCCGCCTTTCCAATAAAAAATAATAAAAATAAATCTTTAAAAAAAAAAGAAAAACACTGTGAGGTCAGTAATGACATCTCCATTTCACAAATGACAGAAGTCAATGCTTACTGAGTTAGAGTAACCTGCCAGAGAGCCCACATTTCATGATTGGCATAGTTGAAAATTGCCCTCAGCATGTCTTTTCCACGCTGTGTAGTGAAACAATTGCCCTTTACTGCCTGTCATTTGTGCGGAACTACCACGTCAAACAGTGGCACTCTCTTGGGACCTGTGTTGCTGTGTAACTAGGGAGGTTGTGATGCCTTCTTCACTATGACAGAACTTTGTAGGATTGTCTTGAAATGTTGCCATGTCTGCACTGGATAATATTCCTGGAACGGCTTTGGTTTCTGGAAACCAAATATATTATGTATTCTGAAAGTGTTGTGAGTAGGGACTCCTGTTCAAACTTTACATGGCCATTGTCATCGCCACACATGCATCTGAGACCAGTCTCTGTCGTGGCAACCACCTCTGGCTTTGCTATTCATTGTTCCCAACTTGCCAAAGGAAGCTGACAGTCAAACGAGAGGCTGGGATTTCCCAATCAATGATCCAATTAAAGCTGCATTTATCATGGTAGAGTGGCTTTTAGAGCCAGGGTGACACATTTAACAACAAAAAGAAAATAGGTGTTCATTTCGGTGACAAAAATGTCCTCTTTGGGGAGCAGCAAAATCACGTCAAACATGCATTTGCCAACATTCTTTTTTTTTTCTTTCAGGCATCACTGCTTCACATGTACGCACATCCAAGGGAATAAAACCTGTAACACCTGTTCTGAGAGAGGTGTGGAGTTAAATCATCTGTCTCAATTCCATTCACCCAACTTGCATGTGAAAAGGGAATAGGAGGAAATAGAAGATCTCAACTGACGAAGTACAGTCCAACCTTGTGGTGAAACTGAACACACGTGTGATTGGAAATGTGATAGAGAAAGCCAGGAAGAAAGAGCATTGGCCACAATTAGCATTGAGACAACACACAGTGCTTGGTGGGCTGATACTATGAAGCATAAGATGTCCCTAAGCAGATGTCCTGGTGTCCTGAAATGATCAGAAAAGGAAAACAAGAAGCATTTCTATAGAAACAAATGGACATGCTCATTGAATCCTGAGGCAGAATGATGTAGTGAAATAAGTTTACTTTTTCTCTTTTGAACAATAGGAACATTACCAGAAGTCAATTTTCCAGTTACTATTCAGGTTCCAGCAGGGAACAGATTGTTTTAAATGCTTGGTTAGTTTCCTTGTTGAAATAGAGAGAAATAAAAATTCAAGAAAAGGCTCCAACTTCAGTTCTCTGTGGGATGCCGTCTTCATTCTCAAAATGCGTCCAGAGCCATCGCAAGAGACTTGCAGAAGACAAACTCAGAAAGCTCAGCAAAGTGTCCCCTAGTTTTCTCAAACGTTGCTGTTGAGCATGGATCAGAAATCAGACTGGCTAATCAGACCCATTTTGGAAATAGAAGGAAGGAAATCCAGAAGCCAATGCAGTTCTTGGAAATGAGGGGGCTACACTTGTGGATTTTCCAGTAATTTTGATTATGAAGCATTATCTACGGATGAAGAGATATTCTGTTCTAAGCTATGAGATACAGTGGGGGAAAACAGATACACCTAAAGTAGATGAGGCAAAGAGGTAACTTGATCATTGTATATTTGTTATATAATTTCTTATTTCTATTACTTTTATATACTTTATATTGTCAGACCATGATTTAAACCCACTGATAAACACTTTAAAGTGCTGATAACTTACTAGATAAACAGATGTTTAGAAAAATGATAAAATCAAATTCCTTAGACATGAGGAATTTTAGCAGATAAATCAGTGTTAATTGATGCTCAAGATCAAGAGAAATTAAGAAATTAATAGTAGGATGGAAGTTTATGAGAGTTTCCGAATGCACTGGAGTTAGGTGTTTGCAGAATAATACCTTGTGGGATGATAGATGTTTCTGATGTTTAAGGCAAAACAACAATAACAACAAAACACTCCCTTCAGTAAAAGCCACAAGGAAAGAGCCTAGGGATAGAGTTGTAACCATAAATCAGAAAACAAAATTTAAATTGGAAAGTCTACAGGAACTTCTGTAGGCAGTTGTTCCTATGTTTGAATTTCTTTGTCCATAAAAAAAAAAGCTTTGCTTTGTAGCATTTACTGATTTCTATGCTGTAAATACTGCCATGATGATGAGTTTGGCACTACCAATATGACATCATTGTACTTGGAGTTGGTAAGAAATGCACACAATCAGTTTGTGCAAACCAATGCAAGCCAGCTCCAGTGTTTCTCTGCACATTTGCTCCTGGACCCATTGTACAGTTCATGAACGAGTGACCAATTTCTATGGTACTGGTGGCTTCTGAGTCATCAGGAATACAGACCATGAGAGAGAAACATCCAGCCATGGGTACTAATGGGTTCATGTGCCCAAGGCCCTCTTCCAACAACAGGACCATCAGTGCAAAATGATGGTGTTACTTTCAGATTTCAGTCTTGCTTGTTAGACTCTTGTGACTCTGCCCTCCACCCAACCCCATGCACTTAAAAGTGTGTGATATTGGTGCAGTTCACCTCTGCTTCACTTCAAAATTTATTACTGCTTTCTCTGGTTCTTGGAAGTTGGTTAAACAAATGTTAAAGTAACCTTTGTGTCTACTGTCACTGCTCTGTCCTTTACCTTCTTCCTGACTTCCCTATGCTGCTTCCTATTTTTCATATAGTTAAAAGAGTCAAGCTTTGGCTAGCATGATGGTTCAGTGCCCAGATCCTTACCTTGCACTTGCCAGCATCCCATATGGGTGCCAGGGCATGTCCTGGCTGCTCTGCTTCCCATCCAACCCCCTGCTTGTGGCCTGGGAAAGCAGTGGAGGATGGCTCACAGCTTTGGGAAATCTGCACCCACGTGGGAGACCTGGAAGAAGCTCCTGGCTCTTTCCTTTGGATCCTCTCAGCTGGCTCTGGCAATTGCATTCAGTTGGGGAGTAAATAAGCAGATGGAATATCTTTCTCTCTGTCTTTCCTGCTCTCGGGAAATCTGCCTTTTCAATAAAATAGAAAAAATATTTTTTTTTTTTTAAAAAGAGTCAATGTTCACTGGAAAGTTACAGTGAGCTAAATATTCTCCTGAACAATTTATTTCTAGTAATGCCACAAATCAGTACTATACAGTCAGTACTATACTCCTAAGCCAACTGTCATGACTTTCAAATGAGGACACTGAAGCACGGAGAATCCCTGCTTTAAACTCTTGCCTGGAATACACCCTGCCTGATTCATTTCTTTTATAAATAGGAGAACTGACTAATATTGAGGCTGAAGTTTTTAATGGTTAGATATCTTTCTAAATTTAAATATACACAAAGCAGAACAATTTGTCCTATTAAACAAAACATAGACTGTCACTAGCAAAACCGTTAGTCAGTATAATATTGGAAAACCACTAGGTTTGAAAGCCCAACATATACACATTTCTTAGGGAGAGGAGTTGCTAAGTTTCCTGCCCAGTCTAGGCCAGATCACAATTCAGGAATTAGTCATTTATGCCTACAGGTGCTAGCTGAATGTCCACCTCACTGTGTGAACCTCAGCTCCCTTGCAGTGGGATTCACTTGATTTCTGGAAATAATGAGATGAAACCATGAATGCAATATCTACCAAAAGTTCACAAAAAAATGCATAACATCTTATAATTTCAATTGCCATGAGGTTTATCATGTATTTTGATTTAGAATTAAAATAAACATATGAAACATAATATACTATGACTTAAATCATGAGTTTCGAATTTATTTCACACAAATGGGCAATTCAGGTTGGTGTTGAAGAGTCATGATTTTCAGCATCCCAGGCTCCATCAAATTGTCTGCTCCAACATTTTTTGTGCATGAACATCTCAAGGTTAACCTTGACTGTCGGTATGGCAGCCATCATACCTGGATCCTAGAAAGAACATGCATGCTGTAGCCTCCTATGCATTTGCTGTGGACTCTTCTAGAACTGGCTCAACACTTACACTTCTGTTTCGTCAACTAGGATGTAGTACCATGCCCTACTCAAATTTAAAGCAAGCTTGAAGATCTGTTAGTTTAGCTGAGTGCAGTGTGGCTTAAATAAGAGTAGGATCCTGTTGCTTTGAGACACCAGTAGAATAGGTGCAGGGTAGGGTACAGTGAGTTCTGCCATAGCAGAAATGAGTGAACTGTGATTCATGTGATATGAGCGATGCACTTTCTTGATGAAAGAACTCTGAGGTGATCATGCAGAAATGATTTGCTCCTTCTTTCATTGAACTCTAAGTGGCTTGGCATGTGCATATGATTAAGATGCTTCTATTAGGGCAAAACCGAATCAGGTTCTTTTGCTTCTAAAAAAAATAGGCACACAAAATGCAAACACAAATAAAATTTAATTTTGTGCTTTCTCCAAATCTTCCCAAAAGCCATGGGAAAAAGGAAGGACAGAGGGTCAAGCTTAGAACTGCATGGACTAAAAGTCATAAGGAAGGATAATGGACCTCATTATTATGGTTTGCAGTTTCCCTAGAAAAGTAGGTCTTAAGTTGTTATTAACCAATATCAACTAACAAACAATCTGTCAGGCTTCTTAAAAGACATTTAAAAAATAAAGAGTATCCTTGCACTCCAAAGATACATTTGTACCTAAAATCAAAATGCACTCACATGTTAGTTTGCATCACTTAATGCTTCATATTTGGAGCCCATAGCCTTCAATGAACACAGGGAATGTTCTGTTGGCCAAAACAGAAGATTTTAAGAAAAATGGGCATTTACTTGAAGGTGTCATAGGCATCCAGGGGGTGTTGTCCAAAGTACCTCTACCATTTCACTTAGTTGCCTTGCTATACATCTTGTCATATAAGAAGAGAATTAGAAATTAAAAGAGAAGTACCAGAGTTAAGCACACATTTTTTACTTTTATTTTTAAATTTTTATGAAGAGGTTAGATTCCATTTAGTTCATAGGTACATTTCTATAAAGATAGCCATATTTCCCTCACAGCTTCTCACCTTTCCTCCAATTCTCTTCCTTCCTTCCTTCCTTCCTTCTTTCTTTCCTTTCTTTCTTCCTTCCTTCCTTCCTTCCTTCCTTCCTTCCTTCCTTCCTTCCTTCCTTCCTTCCTTCCTTCCTTCCTTCCTTCCTTCCTTCCTTCTTCTCTCTCTCTCTCTTTTTCTTTCCTAGAAAACTCCTCTATTTTCATGGGAAAACCATAGTTACACAGAGAAAGATACTCTGTCTGCTGAATCAGTCCTCAACTGGTTTCTACAGCTAGAGCTGAGCCAATTTGAAGCCCGAAGCCAGGAGCTTCTTTCAGGTCTCCCACATGGGCGCAGGGTCCCAAGGCTTAGGACCACCCTCTATTGCTTTCCCAGGCCACAAGTAAGGAGCTGGATAGGAAATGGAGCAGCTGGAACTTGAATTGGTACCATATGGGCTCCTGGTGCGTGCAAAGTCAGAATTTAACCACTGGTATATCATGTAACACCCAATCCCCTCTTTGTTTTTATTTTCTTTAATTTTTGCAAAGACATATTTTAAATATACTCTGAAATCATAGGCTTAGTACACCACTAACCATTATAATCAACAGGTAAAAAGTACAAACAGCCAAATGTATAACTAACAGCCAAATGTAACAAACACATCTTAAAAGTGAGTATAAGCATAGATTGTTTGATACCAAAAATGAGTTTAAAAAATGATAGAACTGGCAACTATACATATGTTTGACAAAATTTCTAATAAACCATTACGAAACAATCAGATAATGCAAGGTTAATTAAAGTAGATATAAATTGGAGTTATTTAGTTTTGGGGAAAATTGTTACTAGATTCCGAATCATCATACCCGTATTTTGACAAATCATTTGCATTGATTTTAAAAAGGTTAAGCTGTATTTTTATTATTCAAGAGGACTTGGACTTATTTAAAACATTAGAAAAACTTCTTCTAAAAATGTATTTTGAATTGGTTTAAAGGAATGATGAATCAATTCAAGCATGACTCATTTACTATGAACTATCAACCAACAG